GTTAAAGTTGTGGGTCTGGAAACCTCTACTAAATTTGGAAGTGCTGTTCAGATTACATCCTCCAGCTGCTGGAGAGATTTTCTTACAAACAGTTGGCTCCTCAAATACCTCGTGCCTCCCTGGAAACCACCTCTATCTCAGCTTTCAAGTCCAGCCAGCCCTACCTCAGTGATCACTGTACTTGATTCATACCATCTATATCCCGTAGCGCTCCTAGCAATTGATAAATTATGGCTCCAGTGAGACTATTGGGTTAAACACCAAGGAAGAAAGAATCATGACAGTAATACTTGTCATTTGTGTGGAGATGTAGCAACACAAAACCCTTTCTCAAACATATGTTATCTTGGAGGAATCTTTCCAAGGGATAGGCTTTCTGAGAAACGTTTATGACTTATGAATATACGACAGGCATGCACTTGACATGACCTACTTTGGCCAAGCCCTCAGCTTCAGCCTGGTCCTTTACCGCCACAAATCAAACAGTCTATTTGAAGTGCAGTTAGACTGGTATCTTCACTGAGATGACAAGGTTACAGCACATGCCAGCCTGAGAAAAAACAGGATGTAGAGCACTTAGTTTTCCGGATTTAAAAATATTTTTACTAAAGCTAGAGGAAAATGGCTATGCTTCTACACATACACAATAGAAAACACAATGCCTGGGATGATTAAAATATTCAATACATTGAAATGACATCCTTATATTATACTCAAATCCTTTCTTTATCTTGGCATTGGAAAACGCAAGGAAAAGCAGAGAATATAAAGGCTTCCTACTGAATATCTTGGAGTTGATTTTTCCGCTTGACTTCCCAGAGCATCATGCTGCAGGGCTTTGTGTTGCCCCAGCTCAGCCTTCACACCATCCTCTCAGCTTGATTGATTACCAATGTAATGCCAAATTTTCAAATTACACTGACTTTTTAAATTGAATACTATGGAGTTGGAAAAACCGGATAAAAGGTGGCACATGTTTCCAAGGACTGAGACACCTGGCAAGAGATACGAGCCTCTGAACAGCACTGTGTTATGGATAAAGCTGAAGTCACTGAATTAACTGATAAATCACCAAAGCATGCACAGTATACGCAGTGCAAAGGGGCATTCACTGCTGGGAAGAGAAGATACCTAAACAATCAGGAAAGAAACACTCTCCGTGACCTCTCATAGGATGACTTTTTGTTCTTCCTGGGATAGCCCATATATAAGGAACCATCGACCTGGCTGCTCCTCCTAGTCCTGATACAGTGAAGCCACTAATGGGTTTCCAGAAATGGGCTACAGATGCAGGCATGGTGTGGTGACACCTATGGCTTGTGCCAAACTCTAGGTCACTCCAGATGATCAGAATGACCTTCTGCTCTGCGATAGGTCTCTCTGATTGTAATTCTCCTGCTAGTCATAATTAAGGAAATTCTATTACACAGTTCAGATACAATTACAGTTGTAGTACAAACCAATTCAAAATTAATCTAAATATAATGGTAGAATTTCTCCTACGTGATTGAATAATTACTGCAATACAACTCCAGTAGGGCAAAGATCAGGAACGTTTCAAATGAACATCATTCAGAAACCAGCATTTTAAAATTGTATTGCTCATTCATACGACACACATCACAGAAACAGATCTACTACAAAAAGCGAATATAGAGGAATTGAGCTGAGAATCATTAAAAACATATTTTTAAAAGGAAGAACCACATTATTACATATAATCATTTTCCTTTCACACTAATTTGTTTTAATCTATTCATGCTCCTTATAAAACATTACACAAAATTGTAATCATAGCATTGTTTTCTTTAAATATGTGCATTTCAGTAAATGACACTTGCATGTATAAATTTAGTGAGTTTAAACAACTGAGAAGTCATTTATTCAGATAAAAATTGCCTTGTTTTCCTGTCTGTAAGTTTTCTATGGAAAGCTATTCCTTTTTTCCAGTGTATTCATTATTCAACATATTAGTTGAATAGTCCTACAGAGAATTCTCTGCTTTTGAATCATTCACAGCCTGTTAGTTCCAATTATTTCACATTTGAAATTTGAACCCCAGTCCTTCGTTTTTATTGGACACAGAGTTTACATGAACTGATGCTGTTCTCCTCTTGAACAAATCTGACCAGAATGCAGATAGAATAAGTTTTGTGCACAGCCTCAGCAGCTCACGTCTGTTTCACCAGGAGTAAATTCCTTAGCTATAATACAACATCAATGTGAGCAGGAGCTGAAAGTTATCTTAGGATAATTCTGAAGCACACCCAACTTATAAAGACCATTATTCCACAACTTTAGATATCCATGTAGCACACACTACCTTCTTTTGCTAAGCCTACACACTGATGTTCCCGTCTAGAAAGGCAACTTAAATAAAAATCTCGGAAGGAGCACTTTTCTAAAGGTGTGCTATACTTCAGAGTTGTCAGCTCGGCTGTTTCAGGGATGGACTAATGGACCTGGAAAACAAAGCTCCCAGAAGAGCCGTGTGAGCTGCTGCCCATCCCTCCATATCTTAACGACAGCAGGAGCACCACAACGTTAGCAGGACTTTTGGGCAGTGAACTATAATTCTCCACTCCCGTGAGGCTTAGGAAAGCAAGGCTGAGAGCAGACTTCAGTCTTCTGAGGCTAGGTAACATGAAAATCAAAGTATTTATACAGTGGAGAGGGCGAGAGGAAGGGATAACAGGCAGTAGTAAATAAGAAAGAAACAAACCAGTTGAAAGCAACTTTACAGGGAGTGAGAAGTGCCCTAGAGTGGTCATTAGCCACACTGAAAGGAATGAGATACATCAAAAAAGGGGAACATTTGCTGCAGATATTACGAGGTGGGAAGGACTGGAGGAGGCTGTTATTCTTGAAAGTATTTAATCAACTGGCAGATGGTCCTGTGGTCAGGACACAGGAAATGCAAGTCCTGTTTCTCACACAGACATCCTGCGTGGGATCTGAGAAGTCACACAGGTGTCCGAGATCACCAGTGGGAGCTGGACAGACCTGGCGCAGTGGGCACTGGGGTCACTAGTGTCAAAGAAGCTATCAAAATCAATGGGAGATGTCCATTCCAGTGTGGGAATTCCTCCATGCCTCCTCTTGGATAAAGCCATCCAAAATGGGCAAGAACATCTGCTTTTGTTTTCACAGTTAAAGCTGACACTGGAGGAGATATGCACATTTGGGAGGGGAGCACATTCCACAGTGGAGCGCTTTGTAATACAAACAGTAGACACCATCCTGGGAACATGATTATTTGGTGAAAACTTACTGTATTCAAGAGGACAAGGCTGCCCTTGGAGGTGGCAGGAGGTAGTGTGCTGGCAGAAGAGAGGGCCCCTCTTGGCAGCTGGGTGGCAAGGCAAATCACTCAAGTGCACCGCACAAGGGTGGCTTCTAGTCAACGTTCAGTGGCCTAACCCCAACACAATAGTCACTGCTTCCCTCCTTCGTTTCTATGGACATTTCAGGGTCTTAGTTGCTCCTTTTCTCCTTCAGCAAAACAAGGGATTGATATCAAGGGGCAACAAGCTCCCAAAGCAGCTTAGTCTTCAGACTTGCTTTCTGTCTTCGTGCAAAGACAAATATTTTTTCAACAAAACTACTGCAAAATGTGAATTTAGTGAAAGTACCGTAATGGGAAATTAGGAAAGCCTTTCACCACAGTTAGTGGCTGGAAAGAAGCAGTCAATGGAGGTGCTTGGACATGAACACAGCCTATACGTAAATGACAGAGCTGTTCAGCAGAAAGATAGATTTCAGGTTTGCTGTCCTGCACTGTTCTACCCCAAACCACCTTTCTAATAATTTATGCAGAAGACATTCAGCAGTCAGTGGCAGATCAAGACCTTGACTCACTGACTACAACTTCACCCCTGTCCTATACAGATGTTTCTGTTCTAAAGCTGAGTTGACTGAGTTCCTAATATCTCCGTAATGCAAGTACTTGACTAAATCTTACAACATAGAAAAAAAATATACATTTTTAATAGTTTCTTAAAACACAACTCTGGTAAAAATAGAGTTTCTATTGCCCTTTTCAAAAATCCTCCCAACAGTTCAAATCTACAGCTAACACAGGGAGCTACTATTTCAAAAGAAACGTACCACATGGAACAGAGCAATTCCAGAGATAAAGTGATGCCTAAAAAGAGTGTTTCTGCTTGTAATTAAAGTACTTACTTCAAGATTAGAAATAGGATAGTTCTTGGAGGGACAGAGAGAAGAGGAATGCAAACAAAACAACCTATTAAAAAATACATTGATGTTCACATAAATGGCAGCTACGGTCACTATAACTTACTCATGCAGATTCTTCCTACCATGAACATTTGTAATCAAGACAACAAGTATGTCTGGCAACTCTCATTGGGAAGATCCAATATTTCTCTACCCACTGCATAGCTACATTTACACAACACATTTTGCGTAGCATTACCTCTTTCTGTTTGAGAGCAGAACTATTGTGCTGGCATATGGAAGCCTGTGATGTTCCACTGTGGTGGTAATAGTGACTAGAATTCCAAATAAGAAGTGGAAAAGATCATACTATGATTAAAAAAAATTTAAAAATATAATAATGAAGTTTTAATCAACTGTTTGGCATACCTAGAAAGAAGGGTTGAGTAGCTGTGTCCAAATAAGCCTACTGAGGCCCTGAGCCTAGTAGTTTGAAAAAGCTTTAGCTTCCAGTTTGCCATAATAATATGAAACTTTGTTTAAGAAGCCCAGGCTTCAAAATCATCGTCTGAATCACAACATGGAACTATGGGAGCCACTGGAATGTTGTTGTTTAGATTGCAACAGTATTCCCAAGTCCAGTCACGGCCTCTGCTGCGATAAGCACATAGACACACGAGAAAAAGCCTGCCTCAAAAAAAAAGCTTACTACTGAAACCGTGGGCTAGCAGTGCGTGGGGATAAGGGGGGGTGAGAGGAAGAGAGGGTGACCTCAGAAACGTCTTTGGCTGGTGGTGAATGTTTGCCCTCCACCTTTCAGGATGGCCTGGGACTCCCTGTGCAGCAGGGACTTACTGCGCCCCAAGATAAGAAGCGGCTCAAGCCGGATGGCTGGCAGGCAGAGCAGTGCCGAAACACCAACCCTGGAGGAGCTGCGGCGCTTGCTCTGGACACGCACACACCCCACGGGGCACGTGGATGAAGTCTGGCCAAACCTTTACGTGGGAGATCTGTAAGAGAGGGAAGGGTTGGAGGTGTTAATGCAACTCTCTCCCTCTTTCCACCCCATTTTCCTTGAAATCTTCTGTTCTTTACTGAAAAAGAGAGCTAGCCAGTAATACGGAGAACCCTCACAGTAAGTCTAAGTGTTGAGCAAGACTGAACTGTGCATGGGATGCTGTGACATAGAGAAAAGGCATCCTAAGTATCCAAAAAGAATATTCCCCCTCCTCATTTCTCCTCCTGCATAGGCACGAGTCCCACACTGCAAGACGGTGGGGCCATGATATTGGTACTGCAGGGAGTCATGCCAGGGCTAGGTAAACCAGGATGAGCCTCATTTCCTCCTCACACTGACAGATGGCATCAGTCCCCTGAACTGATGGATGCTCAGCAGAGCTGATGTGGTGAGAAAGCAAACCAGAAAACCCTTGGCTTATGCAGAAATATCACCACCACCTTTTTATTTTTCATCACTAGAGAATAACCACCTGATGTTTGGAAAGAAGATGCAGGAAATGTAGAAGTCAGTTTCTTACTGAGCCACCTCTGTCTTGAACTTTTGGTGGACACTTTGGAGGTGTTCAACCTGGCAGAAAATAGCCACTACAACTTCACGTGGTTATAACAAACTGCACCATCAGCAGCATGTTCTACCCCACATTGTACTGTGGCAGGTGAATATAACCCACCTTCCTTCTTCCAGGTATGTCGCTCGTGACAAAGCACAGCTGAGCCGGATGGGCATCTCCCATGTCGTGAATGCCGCTGCCGAGCGATTTCACATCGACACTGGACCCAAGTTCTACAAAGATCTGCCTGTGGATTACTATGGAGTAGAAGCAGAGGACAACCCAAACTTTGATCTCAGCATTTACTTCTACCCAGTTGCTCGCTACATAAGAGCAGCACTGAATTCTCCAAAAGGTAACTAGAGCATGTTACGTACCTTCTGCACAGGAGCCAAGTAGGGCGAGTTACCAAATGGTATTCAGCAAATAACAGCCAGCTGCAGATGTGGGTAAGAATGGAGTTACCCAAACCAAGCAGCATCACGCCTGCCCTCCTGAACTGCCACAGTGAGTGGGAGTTGCCCTGAAAAAGGGAAGGATGCATTGAACAGGTTTTCGAAAGGGTTTTCCCTATGCCTAGTGCTAGTCAACATCTCTATTAGCAGAAGACAAAATAGCAAGTATCCTTCTATGGGCACACTGACCTGGGAGGAGGCACATACACCTTTTTTTTTTTTTAATCTTTCAAATTAATGATGGGGTTTAAAATAAAAGTTGGGATGGGGTAAAAAGACAAGGACAAGCGTCATATTTGACTGAGAAGAGTCAGCCATGATGCTACAATCTGTACAAGTCCTACAAACACAGGATAGGGAAGAACTTGCAGGGAAGCAGGTCTATAGAAGCAGCAACACCACAGGAGATAAGTCATGATCTCCCACTAGCCCCAAGCCTCTGGCATTGTACCTGGCCTATGTTTAGTGAGTCCAAGGATTTTACAGGGTATCTTCCTATTTCAAAGTTCTACTCTTTCTAGCAGCAGCATGACATTAAGGACAAGCCTTCACAAAAGTCTCCACTGTGCCACAGAACTGTGAAGATGCCCACTCATTTATTTGGTTTTCACCGATTCATTAAGAGAACAGTTATACACTCGGCAAACTGCTTTGCTTGCATCATGTTGAGCTTTAATATCAACAAGAGTCCTAAAATACTAACTGCCCAGCTTAATCATATGCAGGTGGTAGATGTGACCTACACACCTAGAGGTCTACACCATCCAAACTAGGAAAGGGAGGCACAGTAACTGAAAACAGTGCACCTCGGTGCTAGTTACCTCAGAGTTTACTGCTGTTTGAAGGGCTTGATCCATCCCATTAGAAAGTGTTTGCCTATGTGAAACCGAGGGTTGCATTTTGGATTTGAAAACCACTAATATATTTGGGGAATTTGGGTCTGCACCCACTTCTGCTACAGTATACGCTATGTGCAGTTGAAGTCATTATTGGTGGTGCTCCAGAGAATGGCAAGATCCAAAATATTTTCACGTTTAAAAAAAAAAAAAAATCCAAATCAATTGACAAAGGACAGAAAACAACAGATGGATCATGGTAGCCACAAAAGCAAACAAACACAGTGCTTTGCAAGATGCATGCCCAAATACTGAAAGTTATGAACGTAGAACAAGTTAGGGCTCAAGGCAAACACAATGAACTTGTCATGTCTAGAGTGCATATTTATCCCTACTCCCATGCTTTTAGATATTGCTTTACTGAACTCCATATGGAAGTAGGGTTCTGGGAATGGAAACAAGGTGAAATTCAATCACATACAGTCCAGCTGTTGCTGACATTCATCATTTTAAGGAAAGTGCAACAGTTTAGAAAATATATAAACAAGATATTCTGGAAGCATAATTTCCTGAGGTACTGAAATTTAGCAGCTAAATACCCATGACCTGTGAAGGGATGAGACAGGGAGGAGATTGTTACACACATCATTTAGAAGAAGAGGGAAAAAATGGCATTTATTAGAAGCAGAGATGCTGAACAAAAAATTATGCCAGGTGACAAGAGGCCTGTTCATAATAAATGTGGGATGTAACGAGGTACTTCTGTTTGATTGAGAAGTCATTTAAGACTGCTGCTTAACAATTACAAGCAAATTCAACATCTATTTTTTTTATTATAGAATTCTCTTTTTCACCTGGGAGGGTAAGTCAAAGTTAAGACTGTATGAGGCACAAACATATTTAAAACTATGAATCAAATACTCATTAGAATTAAGTAAGAACAGTTACTCCCATCACACTTAAAGAAAAAATGCTGTTGCTTTACACCAGAAGTCCAAGAAAACTGCATGGACAGATTTATTCCAGATTTCTACCTTAGCTGAACAGAATATGTCTTTGGTGATGTAAGGAATTTATTTTTAAGGCAATTTCTCCAAACCCAGATGCCAGAGCATGAGCAAAAGGAAGCAGGGGAAGGTGCACTCACATGCTCCTAATGGGGATCTATAGTCTTTCAGGAAGGTTGCCCTTTCCCTTCTGCCCATTATTGCTATTCCTGTCACAGGGGTTGATGGCTGCATCACACCCTGAATGACTTTCCATCATCTTTGTTGTACAGATTAAGAAATACATGCACTACTATTGCAGCCGTGCCATATAAGCATTATTTTATGAACCCTGCTTCCTTGGCTGCCTCTCCTTCTGTAGAGCCCTGCTGTTCCTTTGCCCACGTAACAGAGCTGTTTGCGAAGGCTCAGCCAGGAGCCAGCAGATGCACAATGTGCCCCCTTCCCCACAAGGAAAAACATGCTATCAGGGATATACTGGCCTGATCCCTCATGCTGCTCCTTCAGTTCAGGAAGGGGGCAACACCCGCACTATCAATCTTACCCCTTTGCATGGCCACGTGTACAATCTGCATTTTTCTGGAGTGCAAGCTAAACCCAGGTGTAAATCAGCAGGGTTTGGTACCGTCTAGCAGAAGAGGGAAGGAAAGAGAACTTGAGAACACAGATGAAAGCCTGCCACGAAAAGTATTAAACTAACACTGTGCAGAGAGAAAGATTCCCAGGTAGAGAGCTTCTCCTTTTATTGACCTCCAAACATGTTTAAAACAGGCAGGTTAAAATCACCCATTAACTTCCTGAAATTGCAAACCCTCTCGAAGGCATTTCTCTTCTTCCACTTCACTGGAGCAAATGAAAAGGTAGGCTCCCGTCTCCTGCCCTCTTCTTGGTGGTGGTGGTGGTTGTGACAGGAGCTTAACTTAGGAGAAAAGGGTTCTCTCTCGACTCTGCCGTAGGTACATTACGTACTTCCCACTCTCCAGCAGATGACAGCCCTTAGCTGTTCGGGGAGGCCTGGGAAGAAGGGACACACCACTATTTAAAGCTCTCCGTAGGCTTCTTGCTATTTTCAGCTGTGACAAAATCGACACTTAATTAACTGAGAAATAGACAATTGGTTCTGTACCTGGCTACAGGATGGTGGCTAAAACATAACAGGAGGTGAGAAAAACACGGTAGAGCGGGAAGAGCTCCTGAGGCCACCTAGTCCAGCTAAGCTCTCCTCCTGGTGAGCAGCACAATTCTGCTGGATTCAATGGAGCGAGGGTGGCTGGGACGTTCACTCCGGGTGACGGTCTGGAGCCTGGTGTTCTGCCAAATTGAATCCATCCTGCAAGAAAGCAAGGGCTAGTTCAGGACATTCAGCTCACTTAATGATGAGTAGCTAAAGGACAATAAGATATTATGTGTTTTAATGACTAATTTGTTCAACAACATTGAATTTCTCAACTTGAATTTGGCCAAAAAAGTTGAATTTGCAAACTTTATCCCTAGTGCAAACCCTTTGATGTCAGTGGAGTTACAGCAGGCATGAACTGGATATAATATCCATAATCCGTTGTTAAAAACCAAGTGTTATTGTTCTGCACAAATCCCAGCCAGATGATAGTTATTGTCTGCCTCTGCAAAGAGTAGCTTGAGATGCGTGGTGCAACATTTCGAATAAGGATTGCAAGATTTAATAATGCCAGAAGCTAAGTGCCCCCACTTCTCCTCAGTTAATCCCATTATTCCTAAGGGATCCTGTTACACGCTCAGAGAAGGTTGCAACTGTGGCTCTCTAATATGGGATCAGTCCAATTTCTCTTTGCACTAGATGTTAAAACAAAGGGGGGCAGGGAAGGCATAGTTGGAGGCTTGTGGCATGGATTCTGTGGTGCAGAAGGTCTGGTTATTACCTCCTTGGCCGCCCCATAACGGGAGCACACACCACGACTGCCTCTTGTGAATGCTGCTTTCCCAGGCTGTGGTCCAGCAGCTTCCCAGGAACTCGAGCCTCGGTGCTGGGATGGTGCATCTTGGCTGATGCAACATTCTGTTATCAAGACCACTGGAGCCAGCCCACACAGTACAGACATGCTTCAAGGTGCTACTGTGTCGTGGCAGGTTCGGTGTCACTTAACCCACCGGAGTGACAAGGGTCTGAGCCTGTGAACAGAACCAAACAGCCACACGGCTTTTGTCTCAAGTCTGACATTTAATTTGTTTGCTACAAATAATCACATAGTAAATGCAGATCTGCAATTTTACGTTAATTAAATCATTTCACATGACTGATTTATCTGCAACAAACAGTCATTTTATTGTCAGTGTACCAGCATTTATCATAACCTCTGTGCACAGTGAAACAAAGGCTAACAATGTGGAATAGATACTGCACGTGTAGAAGATAATATACCTGCATCCTCATGGGAAAAAGTGCATTAGAGAGCCATGCAGATTAGGTCCAAGGTCAACAGTTGGGGCTCATCCAGGTTTTTGCTGAGACGCCTTCTAAAGCTGGTTGCTGATCCAGGAAGACTCTTTTGAAGTGCAGATAAGCCAGAGCAGCAGGGAAGAAAATTCAGTGTGTTCTTACTTGCCGCTGCCTCCTCCTCCTGTCAGACAGAGTTAGGTATAAACCATCAGAGAACCAGCCTGTACAAGCAGGAGCCTGGAATTTGTTCTGCTTTCTGTACCCCCAACAAAAACACATCAGACAATATTTAATGGCAGCATCCATACCTGTGCTCAGCTCGGTCTTCTGTTCCAGACTGCAGGTGAGGCTGAGCATTTTCCAAGGCAGAAGGCTCCATCTGGGTGGGAAAAAAACAGACCCAAGAACAACTTTACAGAAATTAGGTTCAGAACAGCAAGTGTCCTGTCCCCCATCCAATTTCTGGCCAAATGCAGATTGAATTTCAAATTATTTAGTGATTCAAAAATCAAATCCAACATCAAGGCCATCTTTTTTTAGTTGTTTGTTTGTTTGTTTTTCTCTGTTTTGCCTCCTCCTGGTACAGTTCAAACCATAACTATCTATTTTCTTTTAGCTGTAGAGTGTTGATAGCTTAGAAGTTTTCAGACACAAAAATAAAGTGATTCTGGTTCTAAGAAAATTTTTCAGAGCATGTTGCTCCTTGGCTTCTGTTACCAAGGGTGTGCATTGGGTGGGTGTCTGGATTTCCCCAGTCCCTGCCACTACATTTCAGGTTGGCCGACTATAAGCTACTGAGGCATGGATTTTCCAAAGACCTTTTGGACTTAGCCCCATATGCAGTATTTCTCAAAGAGAAATTGTGCTCTTTTACTCCTTTACGTTCCTCTGAACATCTTAGACCTGGGTTATTTGGGTCTGAAGTGCTTCCTCTGGGGATGATAATAGAGCATACATATCCCACAATGTCAGCATGAAGGCTGATGATAATGCAGCACATAGAAAAAAAAAGTAGTATAGTGAAAATTCAAATTAGCATTGTCTTCTAGCAAGGGTGTAAAAGCTTATGTCCATATTCCCATAAAAAGTAGGACTTCACTTCCATGAATCCCCGTGGAGTTAATGGAATTGACAGAAGTAATTTCACTTGAATAATGGCATCAGTATCTCAGTAAATTTGGTGAACCTCTATCTGAATGGGAAAACACAAATAGAAATCACTTGATCTTCTGAATCTGCAAACTGGCTTTTAGTTGGAAAATACTCTTCCTTACTCTTCCTTCCCCCAAAGGTTTCAATGCCTAGGCCAAGTCTGCTGCCACCAGAGCTGTTTTCGGTGCTTCCTTGGAGACTATATTTGTCCCTTTATTTCTACTGAAGACACGTCTATCTTTAGGGCTGAGCTCATGTTTCTCATGCCAGGATAATGGAAGGTGGCTGTGTCACATACATTGTGGAATCCAACACGTCTCTCAACCTTCTGGCCAGAGCAGGTTTTTACAGCACATGCTCGCGCTCTCTGAGCATGTGGCTGTGCCATCATCATTAGTCAGAACTGGAGCGGTTGCTAAATAAATACTCTGTCACAAACAAAATGGGATTTGAGATGAAAAGCTGTGCACAAAGTACCCAGAATTAACACCCAGAGAGATGGGGGCAATCAGTCTGAGGTTTTTGGCTGGATCCTAGGCTCATCATCCAACAAGGATATTTTTGTCTCGCGCCCTGGTAATAGAGAAATTAAGATGCTGCAAGCACAAACAAAACAAGGAACTAGCCCTGAAAACCTGTCCGTTCTTTCTACCTCTCCTTAGATTTCACAGAGAAGCAGCATCTGAGATACTTTATTCCATTTCCAAAGGGAAAAAAAAAAGCAATATGAGATTGGTTTTACTGATTTTCATCTTTTTCTGGATATAAATTGTATTGTTAAACTGCGTTTTTGTAGAGCTTTGCAACTAGTAAACAGGAGACTACAAATGTGACAGTCTATAAAAATTTAAAAAATGCATAAAATATCATAAACTTATGAAGATTTCCAGGGAACAAGTGTTCTGAAAATTTCATGCTAAAAAGACATCTTTTTAGCTGCCTTACTGGGAGACAGTGCTGTCCATTCGGTGGTCAGAAGTTCAAATCTGATTCTAATTATGGGCTACTTCAGTGATGCCCAACTGCTGAGCCATGGTTTCTGTGAAAAGACTAGATCTGACTGCAGCAAAGGACAAGAAAGTTTGAAAATTTTCAGGCATGGCTATAACTGAGTAGAACAACAGAACATTTGGGTTTTTTTCAATGAAAATTTTCTCATCAAGTCACACCATTTTTTTGAAAACTGAAGCATTTTACAATATTTACCTGATGTAGGTTTTCAGATTCCAGAATGAGCTTTTTGCTCACATCCAGAGGGAAAGGATTACAAATGTGATTTTTTACACCTGAAAGCAATCCTTTGGACAAAATGTAATTTCACATAAGACAATTAAAAAAAAGTTTATCTCCTTTCAGCATGGGTCAAACACACACATTAGAAACCTGTGAAGCAGTCATGATACAGAACTGCATTACTCGGGCTGCTTCCATGAGTGATCACAGCAGAGAAACTGAAAACAGAGCAGAGGGAAGGAGGGAGCCACACTCCTGGATCCCTGGGAGGTCTTCCCTGAGGCTTGCTTACAGCAACATGGAAGGACTCGCAATATTACTCTTAATGAAGATGTACACCTCACACTGAAATCTCTAGGGAGCTCAAAACATTTCATAAACCATTTTTCTCGTGGTCACCCAACACAGACGGAAGATGAAGGTGTTAGGGCAGAACAGTGACAACAGATGCATAGGGTAGGCTATAGAAATTTAAAAGCCTGTAATTAAGCTGGTTGCAATAGCATGTACCAACAGGCCACTGTTCTTACCAGTCATACCCATTTCCCAACACACTTCCAAAGAAGGTCTGGGCAGCAGTCAGCCCCTTCAGAAAGCATTATTGCCCTCAGCAAAAAATGAAAAATAGCTTGTGGAAAACAGGAGCCTTCCTGCAATATCAGTGAGCACTCCTGAGCATTGCATACTTGAAATCCCAAGCTTCCAGGCCCTCTGGCAGTACGCAACCCACCATGGCTGCTTCCCACAGCACAGCCTTCAAGTGTGAAGGCTTGAGACTTCACCAGCGAGTACATCGCTCCCAAAACCACGTGTGAGCAAGCAGGGACACCATGGACAGCAAGCTGGGCAGGAGGGCTTAGGGAATGCCATCAGGCATTCCCTAAGCTTAGCCCAAACAAGCACAATCATGGATCCTGCGATACAATTATGAATTTTCTGTCCCCAGCCATTAGAAAGCCCTATTGCTTCCCAACCAGCATTGCACCAGATCTGCTCTGCAGGGCTGAGCCCACCTGCTTGCTCAGCCCCCGTGTCAGCACCACTTTCATTTGTGCTCCAGCACGATATAACGCACCATTTGGCCTCTTGGCATCATTGCGTTTCTTTCTCTCCTTTTTTCCCAGGCAAAGTACTAGTTCACTGTGCAATGGGAATCAGCCGATCTGCAACTCTTGTCCTCGCTTTCTTAATGATCTGTGAAGACATGTCCCTCGCTGACGCAATTCAGACTGTACGCTCTCACAGAGGGATCAGCCCCAACTCTGGCTTCCTCAAGCAGCTGTGGGAGTTGGACCTCCAGTTAGGAAGACGGAAGGGCAGAGGAGCAGAGGCCTGCTAGTGCCAAGGGGGCATGTCTCTGGGCACTGGACCAAGAGGTGCTGCCCTCACTGAAGACAGTGCAAGGATGCTGTCAGGACTGCTCTCTGTAGCTGCACTGAGAAACTCCTTAGGAAATGGCTGAGCATAAGCAAGCTAGTAGGACTTCAGTATGTATTTTTTGGATAAGCCCACTAATTGAAAGAAAATGAAATAAAGAAGGATTCAAACTGGCAGTTTTGCCCACCTGGGCCTGTTTATTTAACTACCTGTTGGGCAGGACATAGGGAGCAGTTGGGTTCTAATGCAGAATTAAAAGGCAGCACAGTCAACCAGAAAAAAAGACTTTTTACTTGCTTATAATTGCATTTATATGTCAAGGGGGAAAATGGCTCAACTAATAAAAAGGAGCCATGAGGTTTTTTTCCTAATCTTTTAACATTTCACATTTCACATCCAGCTGGCATAGGGCGAGACTTGAGGTTTTGCAAGCTGACATGATCCTTTAGTCTGACACGGTGACGCTAGTCAGGATCCAACTCCAACCTCAGGCTCGCTCTATTACAAGCCACGGAGGCGCTTGCTGGCACCTTCACAACTCCTTTTAGCCTCAGATCTATGGCAAATACGCAGACCATAACATACTCGGGGACTGATACTGGAGGTCCTACCCAGACGCTGCACCCTGGGGAATGGCTATCGACATCCTCACAGCTAGCCGGAAGGAAGGAAGGTGTCCCCTTGCACGTGTAAGGCAAGGGGCACACTCAGGGCACAGGGCTCACTGAGGCACTGTGGGGTGGGCAGCAGTGCCAGACAGAAATGTTTCCTCTTGGCTTGCAACCCAGCGTTCCCACTCATATTCCCTAAATTTCCCTGTTTTAACAGAAAGCCAGAACCTAGTGTCATCATGTCACAGCAAAAATGAGCAATGCCTCTAATAAATCCAAAGCAGCAGCTCTGCATTTCGATTACTCTTTTACGCCCAATTGGCCACATTTAATCTTGTGAAGAACTCGGAGCAGATATTTGCTTCAGTGCAATTACAGCCACATACAGAACATTGGCAAATGCAAACAATATAGAATTTCCACTTGACGGCAGATTAATTTGGTGTGATGTTTTCCCTTGAGAGGTCTTAAAGGCTTGCAGTTCTGAAAGTACCCTGCAGTTTGTATTTATAGCACTATGGATGTTGAATAGAAAGAGAGAAGCATATACTTGTTCTGAACTGAAGTTTCTTTTGCCTTCATACTGCAAAAAAAATTAACTGAGCATAGTATGTTTCCACTGCATTTCTCATAATGCAATATGGAAACATGATTTCCCTGCAGAGCCTATAGAGAAATTCAGGTGGTGTGTCCACTTTTACAAACATAGTGAGTAAAACACAAGCAATGCTATGGACTTATTTCCTCTCAGGGAACAGAAAGATGGGTTTTCCCTCCAGAAAGGGTCCCATCCTTTGAGACCAGAGTAAGCAGCCAGAAGGGAGGTCACAGCTAATGATGGAAAAAACCAATCAGTGAAGTTATAGCTTTCACAGACCTCTTACTGGCTGCCACGGCAAGAGGATTAGGTTTCAGTGAGCATGGTGGCTGAACCACTCCTGGCACTGGGGTCTCCTCTGCCTCAGTCTGTCTGGGGATCCCTTTTTATTGCAGACCATGCTGAAGCTGTTTTGTGAGTAGTCTTTTCAGTTGCCTTACTAACCACTCCCTTCAAGTCTCTGTAACTCAGCCTGTGCCAAGCCAAATGGCACTGTATTAAAGCACAAGGGGCACATGAAACACAACAGTCCAAAATCTCCATGCATTGAGCCCATCAGGACAGGTCATAATTCCCAGCAATTTGCACATCTGGAAACATCTGTGGTTACATGGCAGAATTTAAAGTGAACAACAGCTCTGAGTGACTGAGCCTAAATTTACCCCAGCTGAGGCCTGTTAGCCATTGCTGGACTGTTTCCGTCAGCCAGGGACAGCCACAGATTCCCTTGCCGTGCGTGAGTTGCAGCTGGGAGCAGTAGGTCCATCTGGAAAGTTCGGGCATGGGCAAAGCAGGGCTGCTGGCTGGCTGTCACTGTTACAGGTGTAGAGCAGAGGCTTCCTCTTCTCTCTGAAAAAAACCCAAAACCCCAACCAAACAACAAAGAATAAGAGGTCAAAACACTGATCCAGAGACAATAGATATCCAACGCCAGGACATAAAATGCCCTTTGCAGAAGAGCCTGGGCTGGTTCCAGCACTTTGCATTGCTGTGAAGTTCAGACAGTGGGAGGCAGGTCCCCCCATCTCCTTGCAGTTTCTCATCCTCCAGCAGATGACAGTACCCGAGCCCACCATTCCCTTTCCTCAATTGTGCAAAGGCTGCAGCATCATGGAAGCGGTCTGGCAGGCTCAATTCGGCAGTCCTAATCTCTCACCCACAGGTGATGCACACTGGGGTGGCTTAGTGCCCCTGTGCTTAGGTAAGCAAAAGTCTCTTAAAAGGACAGCTGGAATCACGTCAAAGAAAATGAAAACAATATTGGGGATGGTTCCAGGTGTATCTTGTGCTATCATTTCCAGATCCAGAGTCACTGGCTCTTTGCAAGCCACCAGCTCAGCCCAAGCAACAAGGAGTGGTTTCTTTCCACCACAGCCACCCTTGCCAACAACAAGGCATTTGGTCCTGGCAAGCAGCTGCCCATTTTGCTGCCCCGGAGTCAGGTGGATGGAAGCCCCTCTCACTCCCATGCAGGGGTACTGCTTCTGCAGTGCCAGCTGCGATCACACTTCCCTGGTGCCCCAGCTAAATATGGCCTGCCAAAAGAAATGTCAATTGAGACTGCAGGCAGCGTGGAAGTGATCAGAATGGAAGCGATTCAGACATCTTAATGGAGAGTGCAGTGTTGATGCCACCATCTTTTCCATGCCTTCTCCTTCCCCAGTGCACAGCAAACACCGGGGTTTTTTTATGAGCACCTATCCATTCTGTGTGCTTGTGAGGAAGAGACTTCCAGCACTGCGGTGGGGCTGGTGTACTTCCCACACAGCAAGCCGGAGAGGGAGGATGGGTGTCCTAGCCCCTTCTCGCAGACAAGGCACCTGGAGTTTGCCTGAGCTGCAGCAGGATGTTTGGGGAAAAGCACAACGGGATTGCTTCTCCAGCCTTCAGAATTGGCACGAAAGCATGAGAGTAGTTTTCTCACATAAGATATCTTGCCTTCACCAGCTTTTCCTCCCAGACTTTCAGCAATGATAAATACAGAGAATATTGCTTCAGGCATGTCTGCACTGCGTTATTTATCCTTTGGATTTGCACTTAGGGTTTTATTTGTAAAAGGAAAGTGGGACCATAAATCTGTGCTGCAAAGAGCCAAGGGGAGAGAGGACAGAAATCTTCAACAAGTTGCAGATGCTGCCAAGGACAGGTTTTCCATGGAAAGAAATGCCAGCAAGGATATTGCCCAGGTACACACCGTGTGTAGTGGCGACAGCTGAGAGTGTCAGACTTCTTCTTGCAGGTGCACTAATTGCAGCCTCCTTGCACAGGTAGCTTTGGGGTTGCTGTAGCAAGGATGGCCCTCCTGTGGGACCTTCTTAAATCATAGCTTATGCCCTTTTTCTCTAATTAAAAAGAACCCCAAAATCTGAACTGGGACCAGAATAGGCCACAATGCTAAAAAACCAAGCATGACTAAGACTAACTTGTCAGGGCTGAGAAACAAGCCACTGGACAAGCCTAAGTTGACCACATTCTAGAGTAACCATTTTGCTGATTTTGGCACACACACGCCTGCTCTTTTCGTACAGCGCCCTAAGTAACACACAGCAGGGCCTGTAGGCAGGGATGGAGCCAGGCAGGCTCACAGGCAGATTCTCTGGTTCTTCCTTACTGGCCTGTGGCTCCCACTTCTGCTTTAACTGCAGCACTGCCCAAGACCAGGTGACCTTCTTTTCCATAACCCTGATGTCTAGATCAGATCTGCCCAGCTCCTGTCAGCCCCTCCAGAACTGCAAAGCACTCTCTACTCTGCTTGCCAGACATTATCCTCCTCCTATTATTTTTCATGTCTTGTATTTTCCTGATAACAAGGCTGAGCTATGTGTTACTGTGGAGAGGGGTTTCAAAATACCTTGTGCTTTGCAAATTTACTTCACAGTCTGAGGTTCAGAGAACAAACGCAGCCCCTGAAGCCAAGTCAAACAGGAATCTAGGGCCTGCAAGGCTTTCAACAGTTAAGTTTTCTTCAGGCTACAATTATTTTGCTTAGAAACTAGACCCTTGATCTGTTGCAGGAGGCTGCAGTTTAATAAAGTCGAGCAATTTGCTCTTTGCAATGTACTATTTGTGGTACAAGTATCATCAAGTTATACCGCTCCCCCTCACTGCTGCCTCCTGGAACCTCGTCTGTTTATATACAGAAAGCACTCTCAGGAAGCACTCCTAAAAATACCCAGTGATGTTAGCTGAGGATCTGGCTCTGCCTCTCCTCCTCCTGCTTCTGCCTCCATAACATCCTTCCATCATCTTCATGCTCAACAACCACAGCTGTTCAAGCAACCTTATTCCTGCCTCATCCTCTAAAAAACTGCACTTTTCCTTCCCCTTCTGCCACAGCCATTCTCCACCCTGTCACAGGGCACCTTCCATGACATTGCCATGCCACATCCCATCCCGTGTTTTCTCACTTGATCACTAAGTTACAGTAAAGCCCACATTGTCCTTATCAAATCCTTGTGTACATCTACGTGGTTCTGGCCACTCTTCAGACAGTAAGATGGTGCCAAGTCAGGGCAAAAATAGTAACAGACAGAGTAGCATCTTTTATTGTTGTCTGAAGGGGCACTTGGAGGCTGCAAAACAAGATGCAGTACTTCCCACAGACTAACTTTTAAAACCATTCTCAGGGAAGTTACCCTAGAGACAAAACATTTCCCAATGGAAATACCATTACAAATAAAAATATTTTCACAGTAGTACAAACAGAATATCTGCACAGTAGAACCCCAGCCAGCTGACAAAAACATCCGTAAA